AGGAAAGTCCGTACTGTACTTTTTTTTTGGCATGAGGCATTTGAGGCATTTTGTTTTATATAGCGCTTTCATTGTATTGCTGTACACCCAACGCGCTTTACAATCATGAGAGGATCTCTCTTCAACCACCACGCTATTACAAGAGAAAGGTATTTATAATCACAACATGTTGGACATGATCCTTATGTTATAAAGAGGAGCAATTTTTAAACTAAATTGAAATACTTGCCTGCCATTGAGGCAGTGGATATAGGCTAAGCAACTAACCCTGATTGTAAACAAGCTATTTCGAAAATGAATCCCGTATTTATATGAGGGATGCGGGATATATGTCACTACTGAAACTTTGCTGCATGTACAGGGTATGTGGCTGTTGGTCCTGTTAGCAGCACGTAAAACAACTTTTATTTAAATTCTGAATCGATTATAGCCTGCCTAGAAAGCGAGCAAATAGCACTTTCATCTAACGTTAATCACTAAAAAGCTCACTCACTTCAATTGATCACAATCTCATGATTCCGTGAACTGCAAACAATATCTTATTTACATCGTGTCTATGTGTGGCGTTTAGCATTCAGTGAATTCTGACAGTGTCACCCTGTATCTATTTATATATTTCTTTATTAATATTTTAATATATTATCTGCAAAACACTGGCATTTTGAGTTTCTGCTAGTGATTTCTATGGAGAAAAATCACTTCCTGCCCTCCAGCTGCATTTCGCGTGTCATCAGAATCACGTGATTGCAAACAACCTATTGAGTTGGCTAGTGAGTGGGATGCCAAAGATGTTCGTCTCATAGATATATAGATTCACATTAACCAACAATTCACATTGAAATCATTGCCCTATGTACCCAAGTGTTTGAATTGATTTAACATGCTCATCCCTAATACAAACCCAAAAACCTGAGTTTGCAAATGTCCCTCTTTTCTACTGACAGTTAAGAAAGCTAATTTAATAACTCACAGAATTTTCAATAACAGCCTTGATTCTTTCAGTTGTGCTGCAGGGGTGCGTGAGTCATCACGGCCTGTTTTGCTAACAAGTCTGAGTGATGTTGCGTCTCTGGGCTTAAACTCATGGTAAGGCTCCTCAGGCCTCAACCAGCCACAGCCATAGTGTGTCTGCATCAAATTCTACATGGTACAGTGGAAACCACACAATTACTTTTTCAAAATGTCATCTGCCGCCCTTTAACAATTTTGTGGAGCTATTAGAACAGGATAAAGCACATACAATTACATATAATGAATTATAATTCATATCTATGTGTTTTTGATTAAAAATCTGTTATTTTAATGGTTAACAAGGTAATATTATTAATATAATTTGCCTTTTTAAGTCTGATTGTCGAAGAAATTGTGACAGTTAGTAAGAAACAACCTTGCAAAAACTGTCATTCTGAAATGATTAGGGCTGGGCAAAAAAATAGATTTTTCGATTAATCGGTTTTTTTTAATGACGTCGATTTGATATCGATTCTCAAAAGCCGAAAATCGATCTTTTCCGGTATTTATTTAAGCAAATATTTAAAACAAGATCTGATTAATGTGAATCTTATCATTAGTCTTCTCCACTAGATGTCACCGTCTTAATTACCTTGCGCGATTACCTTGCGCCAACAGAAAGCCTGTCATTCATTCAGTGCTTATCATAGCGGAGATACTGTTGACAAGAACCAAGAACTAAGTAATGTGCGCGATTTGCAAAGCTCAGGTAAAATTCTATAGTAATACTACAAATCTGCGGAAGCATTTGACATCACGCCTAAGGCACCATGATTTCCGCAATGAATGAATGGCGGATGGTGCGACGCACTGTTTTGTTTACTAAAGCGCGGACGACGCTCGCGGTGTTTTCAGCTTCTGCCGTCTCACTATATGATGGTATGAACACATGAATATCATCTCCAGCTGCTCCATAAAGCGCGGACGACGCTCGCGGTGTTTTCAGCTTCTGCCGTCTCACTATATGATGGTATGAACACATGAATATCATCTCCAGCTGCTCCAAGAGTCACTTTATTAGCATTTTACCCTTTTATTTTTAGAAAACTACCATCATATCATATCACATACACAGCAGCTGCAAATTCCTCATGGCAACCCGTCAAAATAAAAGTTTAATTTAACCTGAAGAAACTGTGTCAGAACTATAGTACTATTTAGCAGTCTTAAGACTCAATGTAACAACAATGTTACTACTACTACTAATAATAATAAATATGAATAAATCTTTCTTTTTAAAAGGAATAATCACATTTGTTTTCTTTTTAATTTTAACAGTCTGTTGTGCAACACTTTGTTTGCCCAATCAAATTTTCATTTGATTAGTATAAATTAAATCAATGTTTTATGCCTTCTTCTGATTACCAGAAAAATTAAGAAGAACATTTTATAGGGCCCTATTATTGTTTAAAAAAGGACCCTATACAAAAAAGAATAGGTTTAAAATACAGGCCTGTGGCTCTTAATTTATTTTTATTTATTCACCATTTGTAAACTGATGTTTACTGTTCATTTTTTAGAAATATCAATAGCATTTGTATTAAAACTATATTCACTGAATGTAATAAAAAAAATCGAGAATTGAACCAAGAATCGAATCGAATCGAATCGAGAGCTAGCGAATCTAAATCGAATCAAATCGGGACATCTGAATTGATACCCACCCTAGAAATGATACTTGTTGTGCCTCACGCACTTCCATTGCTATATCTCTCTTATACACATACACTCTCCCACACTCTGTCTGCTGAACCCACTAAATCTCCCCGTCCTTCTCTAATGCTATTCAAGCCAACAGCAGGCTATCACTTAAGTAGCCTGATAAGCTAAACCACCAAACGCGATGAGTTAACATTGCTCAATCAAACACAAGTTTGATTGAGCGTGTAATATACATGAAATATACATGAATCACATGAAATCTACTTGGAGTCAAACTGTAGGTGACCTGTTTACTGCATGAAACCTGGGCTCTCAATACCTGCTGAGCCAAAGCAGCATGTCAGAGTATTTTTACCCAGCTTCGTCAGAGCTGATCCCCAGTAATTGAGAGGATAAATATCCCTCCTCGTCTTTAGAGACTGTTACACACAATTGCAAGTCAAAATTAAAGGTGGCAAACATGAATACAATATATATATATATTAGGGATGTCAATTTTCGATCATTTCCACGATCGATCGTCATTTAAATTAACGATCAATTAATCGATTAACCGTTAACCTTAATGCTGCAAAATGCGTCTATGCAGCACGCACCTCTTTAAATGGTTTCGTGGTGCTCTTTGTTGTATTTTAAAACACTATTGCAATGTTTTCAACTGACATTATGGCATTTAAAATAAAATTATCCCAAACGTAACTGTGGCGCGTGTGGCTGTGCTGCGCAGACATTCGCATATAGACGGAAAAGATCATCCTCTTCACATGAGCAAGAACGTCCTTGGCATAACAGCAGAGTGGACCGACCGGTATACTACGGTCTATTTAAACTGACCAGTGTAACCTTTTATATGTTTGGTTGACTGTATTTTATTTTGATAATGAACAGACTGCGATGTAAGTTTGAATTGCTAGAATATGTGGTGTGTATGCGCGTGAGGTGCCGGCGCGATCGAACAGCTGAAACATAAAAAACTACATTTTTGGAGTAAGATATAATCCGCAAAAGTGTTTATTTTTTTTTTGCACACACAATAAAAACAGAAGAGTTGTGCTTTTGTAAAATAAAGCAAACAAACAGAATGCGCGTTGTCATCCTTTTCTTTCCATGAACTTGTTTATGGAGCGCCGCGCCACACTTCTGTTTTAAATCTGTTAGCTTAATTATTTAAGCCAGATATATTTAGCTTTTTTTTTTTTTTGAATGAAAACAAATTATTTTTT